GTTGTACAAAACCACATGAGAAGAGAACAAGATCTTCAAGCCATCTTCCATTCCAGCAGTAGTGGTTTGTTCCTTCTTTCAACTCCCCATGGAGCTCACGGCCTCCTTCTCCCAGACTCACGGCCTTCCACTCTCTCCACTCAAATTGTTTCTTCCTCACACTCAGAATTTTCTCCCTGCCTACCGTCCACCACTCAGAACCCCAAAATGTGAAAACTAAAACTTCCTTCTTGACCGTGCACTTTCCTCTGCTATATGGAGTCTCCACTCAATTTGCAGAATGATGATTATCTCTTAAGTGGATGGAGCCCTCAGGATTAATGGCTATAACACTAAGGATTAATGCATGGAGCACTGAAGATAATGCTTTGAGCACTTAGGATTAGATGACCTACCTCCACTAGCTGCCTTATCTGCTGGACAAAGAAGTGATGCAGTTTGGAACGTGAATTTTTCTGGATGAAGCTCCCTTGCTGGATGAAGCTCCTTTGTTGGACCGTGTGTGTGAAGAGTGGTGCAGCTGGAACGTATGAAGGTGTGAAGGCTGGATGCTTTCCTTGTGTGTGTAGCACTTCCTTAGTGTGTGAATGGTTGGACTATTTTTTTGGCAGCGGCTGTATGCTTTGTGTTGGTTAAGGAAAATGAATTCCCATTCAAATGTGCAGTTGGAAAAACCGTGAGGTGCTATCCTTGGTGGTCCCTCCTTTTGTCTTATGTGCTTCCACATCTACAAGGAAAGTTATATTCCTTTGCTGACTACCGTGAGGTGCTTCGAAATGTGGACCTCCACCAAATTCTTTCACTAATCAAAACAAAACAAGGAAGACCCTCCACTTTGTTGTGTGCCGTGTGGTTTGTTCCAAGTCAAATTGTCTAACACTTTTGTGAAACCGTGGCATGTGCACACCAATTCAATACACACCCTTTGAAATTCTGAAAAGCTTGCTCCCCATGTGCAGCATGTACTAATAAAATAAAGGAGACAAGACTTCTTACTTTCTTGCATGCAGTACACTTGTTCCTTACATATCATTGTGCAGTAATTTTAGAAGAAAGAAATCATGTGTTGCTTCATGCTTTTGCTAGCTATGTGCAGTAATTTTTGAAATAACATTAATAAGTCTATTTCTAAATTTTCTTTTCTTGTATTGTATAAAAATATATATTATGTTCAAGAATATGGCATCAGGTGGTTCTGGCCCTCCTAATCCACCTTCAGGAAATCCCGATAAGGGGAAGGGGAAGAAATCTTATGTAGTGAAGTTGATGACACGTTTCAATAATGAAATTGGTTCAACCAGTCAGCCAACTACACCTACCTCTACCTCCACTGCTAGATCTGTTCCACCTCCATTAGTTGTTCCTGCCTTCACTCCCACTCCACATCAAGTTCCTACATCTACACCCACTCCATACCAAGTGCCTCCTCATGGAATGGCTTCACTCTCTCCCAATGTTGGTTCTAACCCATCAACTCCCACAAATATTGCACCATCACCTGGTACAGACGATGCAAATCCACATTCCAGTTCAGCCGCCAATTATGTCGAAGAATGTTTCAATAGTCGTCCAATGATTACACCTGTTGGAGGAGGGTAAGAAAAAAATTAACTCAACTAATATATAGACAAATCATTGTTGTATTACTGTAATGTTTGAGTTCAATTTTGGTTTAGGTTTTATCCTACAAAAACTGCATCGAAGGCAATCACAGCCACCATCAAGCAACAGTTTGATGAGCCATGGCTAACATGGGGCTCAATCCCTAAGTCAACCAGAGATGTCTTCTTCGAACGTTTTAAGGTACACACTTTTCAATCCCAATCCTATTACACTAAGCAATTATTCTCTGTATGTGTAAATCAAACATATTATTCAAACCTATTATTTTTAATATAACAGAGAAAGGTTTCATGGAAGCCTGAAGATGAGGAAAAGGTAAAAAAGAATTATCACACCAAGGCATCTCATAGACTCTCTGAGATGTATAAAAAAGCTAGAACTATTGGAAAAAAACCTGATTGGCTGGGGGACGATACTTGGAATGCTCTTTTGGAAAAGTGGAACATGCCACTTTATAGACAAAAAGTGTGAAACAACAAAGAAGAATCAGACATCTGAAAAGGGTGGTTGTTTGCACATTGGAGGGTCTATAAGCGTGCATGAGCATGCTATTCGTTTGGTATGTAACTTGTACATTTTTTTTCTTATATTTGTAATCATAAACTTTAAAAATATTTATTAACAACTCATTTTGTTTGCAGTCACAGGAGCTTGGTCGGTCTGTGCATGTTGATGAAATATTTCAGCAGACACATATTCGTCAATCAACAGGGGAATTTGTGGACGAAAGGTCTAGGCGGACCCATGTAAGTTTCTACTAACTGTATCCCATTACAAAATTTTGGTTTTTAAACCTCATGTTTAATATTAATATTTATTCATTTAACAGGAACAATTTGTTGCAAAATTTTCTCAAATAAGATCTGAGACTGCATCTGTTGGTGTCTCAGCATCTTCTTCTCTAGACCCTACGGAGGAGGAAAGATTGAGAAACCGATGTTGGTTAGAGGCTGCTGGTGGAAGATACAAGGGACGCGTATATGGCATTGGAAATGTCAGTTCCCAAGATGACTGTGTCGATAGTTACATCCAACAGACACAAGCATCTTCTTCTGCTCAACAACAAAATTTAGAAGAAATTGTTAATCTGAAATCGCAGTTACAACAATATGGTCAGCAGCTTCAAAAGTTTGAAGGCTTTATTGGCGTCCTCCTGCCATTCCTTCCGCCTTCAGCAGTCGCAGCTGCACAAGACTTTTTAAACCTTCAAAATCCTCAACTTCAAAATGAAGTACCCAATGATGTCCAACCAGAACAGCAACCTCCAGAACAGCAACCACCACACCAGCAACCAACAGATGAACAACCAGAAGATGGAAATGATTATATGCATTATTAGGCATTTTATAGAACTTATTTCCATTATTGTTGAACTTATTTAGAAGCACAATCACAATCCGTTTATGAACTTACCTGATGTTTATTCTTGCACTTATATTGATGTCAACAATATTTATGTATTCATATACAATGTTTCCTTTATGGATTAAGTGTATTTGAAAAGCTTTATGGATTTATATGTCAATGTGCAATGTATAATGTCCAGGATTGCTTATATCAATTGTGAATGTTCACTATAATGTCCAGGTCTGTTTGTATATTGTGTATGGGAAACTGCCATATACAGAGTATATATTTAGCTCTGCTTAAACCATTATATACGGATATATCCGTATATACTGTTCGTATATAAATTATATACGAAAATTATATACGGAAATTATATACAAAAATTATATACAAAAATTATATATGGAAATTATATACGAAAATTATATACGGAAATTATATATGGAAATTATATACAAAAATTATATACAGAAATTATATACAAAAATTATATACAGAAATTATATACGGAAATTATGTACGAAAATTATATACGGAAATTATATACGGATAAATCCGTATATAATTTCCGTATATAATTTCCGTATATAATTTCCATATATAATTTTCGTATATAATTTATATACGGATTTATCCGTATATAAACCTAGCTACGATGGTATTATATACGGATTTTTGCCCGTATGTAATCCGTATATAACCAAGTATTATATACGGATTTTAGGTCTTATATATGAATTTTGGCTGTATGTAATTCACTTTTTTCTTGTAGTGTGTTTTCTTTTGTTTAACATATTTCATTCTCACCTAATTCAAATTTATTTAAATAATAAATAGTACGAAAGTGAAGAACAACGACCAAATTTCCACAACATCCTTACAGGACTCAGGAAAATTCGAGAATTATGAATAATTGGGAGGATGCACATGAATCCATCAAAGCTGATGTTAGCCAGCTGAAGGACCAAGTTGGCCAGAGTCTGTGAAAACTACTAGAGAGTCCTCGTCGGCACGAGTTGAGGGAACTGCCCACTCTTATCCCCCAATGTTAAACGTCCTAGGCTAGTCGATTCCTTTCCCAATGTATGGTTTACCCCCGAGTTACACTCCTCCCATAGGAGATTTTTCAGAAATAGAGCATGCTTCATTTTCCTTTCCCACAACTGTTAATGTACCGCCAATCGGCACTCGAGGTCTTGTTAATGTACCACCAATCGACACCCATGGCGAGTATAGGGATGAATGAGACAACTACACTTGTGGGAACGCGAGTGACTGTAATGCCACACATGGTCACTGGGGAAGACTCTTCAACCAGGGCCATACCGCATACTGCTTTACATAGGGTAATTAATAGCGTTGATGGGGCTAAAATCAGGCTGGAAATTCTAGAAGAAAGACTGAGGGATGTTGAAGGAGTTGAAAGTTATGGGTCCAGTGATGTTGCAAGATTGAGTTTGGTTCCTAGTGTGAAAATACCGCATAAGTTTAAGTCACCGAAATTTGAGAAGTACAAGGGTAGTACATGCCCAAGAGGCCACTTGACCATGTATTGTAGAAAGATGGCTGCATACGCTTATGATGAAAATACTCATCCATTTTTTCCAAGATAGCTTGGCTGGGGTGGCATTGAACTGGTATACTCACCTAGAGCCGTCTCGAATCCGTTGCTGGACGGACCTGGCTAACACCTTCGTGAAGCAATATATATACAATACGCATGTTGCACCGGACCTTTTGAAGTTGCAAAATATGGCAAAGAAGGACAATGAAACTTTTAAAGAATATGCCCAAAGATGGAGAGACTTAGCTGCACAGGTCGAGCCTTCTTTGTATAAGAGAGAGATGATGGCAATGTTTGGAAACACGCTCCAACCACCATTTTATGATTACATGGTAGGGAATGTGTCCTCCAATTTTGTCGATATCATCATGTCACACCCGGAATCGCGACGGGACGACGATCCAAAAAAGGAATGGGTTTTGAAAAGAGATTTTGGAGTCGCCACCATAGTTTATTCTGGAAAACTACGGAAAAACCATAAAATAATAAGACACGGTCCACGAAAACCATATTCTGGGTTCGAGAGTCGGTTACGCGTAGGGAAGGTGTTAGCACCCTACAATGCCTGCCCTAAGGTAGTACCTTTAACTAGATACGCGAATGTGATGTGGTTCTCAAAATGTTTAACTATCCCCTAAAATAAAACTTTACAGAAACAAAATATATTTTTAGTTTTTGGGCCCGACAAGGATTGTCCTTGCTCCTACGTATTCTCATTCAGAATGAGAAATCAGGGTTACGTAGTTCTTTTAAACTGTTTGAGAAGTTTGTTTGGAAATTGTTTTGGAAATTTGTTTTGAAATGATTTTGGATTTTGGGAAGTGAAAGAGAAGAGGTTTTTAGCACAAGGACGATGCGTGCGATCACACATGTGCCTAAACCTTTAAAATATATTTTTTCATCATTTCTTATAAAAGTGCATTTAAAATGAGGATAAATATTTAAAATGGGAACAAAAGAGAGAAGAAGAAAAATAAATAAATTAAAAATAAAAATAAAAATAAAAAAAAGAAATAGAAATAAAAATAAAATAAAAGAGTAAATAAATAAATAATGAAAATAAAGTACAAAGTAAAAGGATAAAATAAAATAAAGGTAAAATAATAAGTAAATAATATATATAAAACAAAGGTGTGGAGGTGCTAAATAAGAAACTGGGATGCTTAAACAACAATAAAAAAAAAACAAATTGGGCCAAAGCCCAGGCGGAGAGGGGTGTGAAAACGAGAATAAGGGGGCGTAGGGAAGAACTTCGTTTTTTTTTGTTTTTGGGAACAGAACGGGCCTGAGCCCAAGGAAAGGAATGGACGTAAAGGTGTAAAGGTGAGGAATGGGGGTGCGCGTAGGAGAGAAAAAGTTTTATTTTTATTTATTTTTGGATCAGAAGACCCAAGGCCCTTTTCACTTCTCAGATCTGGAAAACCCTAGGGGTTCTCACATCCTAACTCATTTCCAATGCACCCAGAGGCTCGAGTTCCTCTACTTGAACGAGAAAACCTAGAGGCAATCACCACCCATTCTGCCTCAGTCTTCGTTCAAACGGTCGGCCACCGTTAGACGCGACCCCGGCTCAATCCAAAGCGACACCGGCGACCAGGCGCCACCGGAGCCGCCGTCGGATCTTTCTCTTCCTCTTCGTGCGCGGGAAGTTCTCTCCTTCTTCTCTGTTTCTTCGCGCGCGTACGGCTGTCTCCGCCAAACCGGCCACTGCTAGACGCGACCCAGGGCGTTGCCAGCATCGCCGCTCGCCGTCAAGATCGTCGCCGGCCCTGGAATCTGGTTCCTCTCTTCTCTTCTTCTCGCGCGCAAGAGAGACCGTCTTCTCTTTCGTGAATCGCCTCTTGGGCGAGCTCGACCACCGTGTTGGCCAGGGCTCCGCTAGCGTCACCGGTCGTCGCCAGAGATGCCTCCGGTCACCATGTCAACGTTCTCTTTCCTTCTCTGCTAGTAAGCAGAGGAACCCTTTTCTCCTCCTTCGAACTCAAGACCAACGAGGCCGGACGTCGCCGCAGCTGCCTACAAAGCCAGCCGCCGCACAAGAATTCTCTTCCCCTCCTCACACCGTAGTCGCCACCACCACAGAGGCGGAAACTGCCGCCACCGAGGCTGCCGCGATGGGCTCTCCAATTTCTCTTTCAAGGGTTCTTTCCTCTCCAGCATCACCACCGGACTGACGCATCCTTCCCTCTTTTTTCTCATTTTTTATTTACTCATTTATTGATTAATGGATTGGGAACGATGGATGTCTGTTGTGTTCGACTGAGTATGAGTGCGAGTGTGAGTAGCGGTGGCCATTTTTGGAATTAATCTGATGGATGTTTATAGCATAGAAACATTGAGGGAGTGGGCTAAACAGATAAGTTGTGTTACTGGCTAAGGATGACAGAAATTTTTACGCTTGGTGTTGAAGTCAATGAACTTGAGGATGTTGAACTAAGGATGTAGTCTGAAGTGTCAATTTGCCATCGTTGTTTGAATGTGTTGTATCTCCGTTTGCTTTTTATCACATGTTTTCTGGGTGCTAAAGGGTATTGAAGCTTTGATGTTGGGGAGTATATGCTTATTTTCTATTGTTAACAAAATAGATGAAGTTTGCAGGCACTGAAACTGCATTTTGGGTGCAGTTTGGGTGTAGTTTGGATTAACAGGGGAAGGTAAACAAACGCAAATCATCGATCATTCGTCTCTCAACATGCATAGGGAAAGCATATCTACGAGAAGCATGACCAAAGAGCTTAGGTATATGAAGACTTACCTTCGCAGCTTCAAGGTGCCTTTCTTCTTGGGTTCTAATTCCCTTTGTTCTCCTTAATGCCGGAAAGTAAAGTTGACTGGGCAGCTAGGTTCACACAATAGTCGGTTCTCCTCTTTCGGTTCTCCTCTTTTCTCTTTGGTCTCAGGTCTCTTGCTCTCTCGTGGTAATGGTGGTGATCAGTGATCCCCTCCAATATGATTATCCCCTTTTCAAAACCAAAGCCCCCTCCTTTCTGTTGTACACTCTGAGATCTCCTCTGGCACCAGATTTCCTTTCTCCCTTTTTTCTTCATGTTTTCATGTTTCCCTTTTGCAGTTGGCTCATGCTCGTTCAAAACTTTTTCCTCTTCCATGTATGTCTACTGCTGCCGTTTAAGAATTTTTAGCAAGGAAAACCAATAACTTTTTCATGCTGCCACCCTATAAACACATTCTAAGCATTCACTGCAACTGATGGCTTCATGAGGAGGGAACAGAGTTGACTTGTGATTTTACTTTTCCTTTTCTTTCACTTCCCTTTTTTTTTATATAAAAAGGTAATCTTTTATTGAATTAAAAAAAATAGAAAAAATAAAACAAATAAAAGGAAAAACGACAAAACAAAAAAATAAAAGTAAACTTAAAAAGAGAAATAAAATGAAATAAAGCAAAATAGAATAAAATAAAAATAAAGGTAAATCAAAGAAAAGATAAAATAAACAAAATAAAAAAATAAAACCAAATAAAAATGAAATAAAAATAAAAACAAAATAAAATAAAATATAAACAGGAGAGG